CAATTACGTTGGTTTCGGCTAGGATCCAACTTTCTTCTTTGCCTATGCTACTGTAGGAGTGATTTGTTCTGCAGGCACTGATTTAAAAGTTCTGGTGTGTTCATATAATGTATCAATCGCGTCGAAATTGTTCTCTTTTATTTTTAGAATTGATGTTAACAGCACCATTTCTCTTTTAAATTTATACCTATAATAAAGATTATGTGATTGCCTGTGTCTATACATTGTATATTATAATTGTGACAAAAATCATTAAGGGAACTGAAAATAAGTAAATAAGAACATTTTTGGAAATAAACATTTTTTTTTCAATGAAATCGTTAAGAAAATCGTAAAGCATGTCTTAAACATTGTTAAATTTATATTTATTTTATTAAAATCGCTTAATTGTATCAAAATATATGAAATATTCAGAAAATAGGTTCGAATTAATTCAACTTTAAACCTCAGAAATACTAATAAAATTACTTGTGTAAATTTACGTTCTATAATAATATATTTATACTTAAACAAACTAAACAATAAAACAGAATATGTTTTCCTTGAACTAAAAGTTGAACTTGAAGTAAAAGTGATGTTTCTGACAAAAACGTAGTAGATGGCGTTGCACAAATGAATCTCATTCTGAATTGCGGTACTAAGATTCTCCGCCATGGATCGTATTGAGACAATAGCCGCGATCTTGGATCGTGAAGCATTGATCATGGATAATACTTTTCTGATCTGGATACGATTCTGTCGGACTATTCCAACATGCTCCAGTTGATTCATCTTGAATCAGTCAGTTGAACTCTCACTACGGAGTCACACGTGCCCTATTAAGCAAAGGCGCCAAATTGCTGTGGCAGCAACAACCTATATTCTTTTAAAATATATACGATAAAAATCACGAAAACCGTTAGCCTCCCGGCAAAGATCTAATTTTTTCTTTAATGCCCCAACTGGCTGATCTATTTCACGACTAATGTGTCGCCAAGCATTGTTTCTCACACCTTTATTTGTGTAATTGGTGTTATAAGGGTTCCATAGGCATTTATACTTTTTATAAAGGGATTTTCATATAATGACAGAGCTTTGAGCATGATCGCAAAACCGACAACGACTGGATCGCTCGCGACAACAAATTTGCCGCTTGGATTGCGCGAGGCACGTCCACACCAACCGCGCATGTGAATTGCGCTCCTGCTGGGCGTGATTGTACCGCGTTGGAATGTCCGGTGTGGACCCGGCTAATGGTTAAGTTAACAATATCAAAAACGAAAATATCTTTCCAATTCGAGAACTATTGTCGTTTTTGTAGGGGACACATAGTTAGTTTTACACAAGTTAAACATAAAAGGAATGTTATTGTCGTCCCTAAAACGAAGTTTTTTTTCATTATTTTATACCCATTGGGTTTCTCACAAAGAATTACTTATTAGATTATTTTCATAACTACTGCTGATTAGGCGGAACGACTCATACAGCAATGTAAATTTTATGTTTGTTTTTTTTTAATTCATTGATCGTAAAAACATTGTGATGTATAGCTAGAATATTAATCAAATCCAAGATTTAAGTTGTACAATTATTTACCCGTGTAGTGGCGGTGTGAGAATATTCACTATACCATAGCATTCTATGGGTGTCATAAGAGGCGACAGAGGGAAACAGAGGGAGATGGACAGCAGCGTCTTCCAACTCGCTTGCCAACTGGCAACAGTGGCAAATATCCCCCTGCGACTCTATATATAGGAGAGACCTATTTCCTTTATATTTCTGAGGGGAATTGTTTTTTGCAATGGGCAGAATTCATCGCATTACTAATAATCGATTTTTCACTACGGTTACAGAATTTTTTAATAAATCGTCCAGTTCATTTTATAAGAAACTTCTCTCTGTGAGGAAATATATGGAGGAGGCCTGTTTTTAGCAGTAGGCTTTTATGAGCTGTAATGGAAATTTAGTTTGTTTCGTTGCTTCTTCGCTTAGCTCCAAATCTTTACAATGGTAAATTTCTTAAATTAGTTTTTTCTTAAAAGAATGTGCTAGACACAGATATTAACATCGGTTATGATGTAGATGAGGAGGTGTTTTATTCCACGAATTTGCTTAAAACGTAACGTGTAGGCGTTTTCAATTTGCAATGAAAATTAAGATAGCGACTTGCAAGACTGGATCCGAAGTTTGGGGTGTGTCAGAGGCGGTTGTGTTACTCTAAAATTTGGAGGGGCTCAGAGTTTTATCATATTACTTTGTGCCGCAAGAATTATCAATTCGTCTTCTATCCTTCATCATTAGCCCGTAAAAATCTATGACAATGCACGACATGGACCTCTCCCACTTCAGGAGTGATTTGTTACAATTTTAACGGTTTGCAAACAAATTGAGGATTGCAATACAATACATCTCGCATTTTTGACGTTACTGGCCAGTGTGAGTACAAATTGACAGTCTGGGTACTAATAATGCCCTTATTACACAACCCTGAATCAGGGCCCTGAATGAAGGGTGGGCGTAGCCCCTAGTTAGGGACGTCAGTTATTACACTACCCTGATTTTACGCCCTTACTCAGTTATAGGGTGGACAAATGAAAAAAGTATATATATTTATTGAATCGATATTTTTAAAGTAATTGTAACAAATCATTTACTGTGTTTCGTCCTGCTAACTCTAGTTGTGTAACTAGAGTTTAGTTCGAGTTGTGTGAATTTGAACTTGAGTTAACTCGAGTCGTAATTTTTTTCAAGTAAGTACATCTATAGGATGCAACATCGCTCATTAAAACATCATAGCTTATGTACGATATATCGATTTTTCGATGCCTTTTATCATCATTAAATTTTTTTATATACATACAACATACATAGTCATTACAGAATGAGTACCCTAATTCGACATTGTAGCCAACGATACAATACCATATGCCACTCTATTGAGCTCACTCAGCGAACATGAAAACAAATCAGTTCGCTCCGACATGGCGTTCATAACGGTGGTTGGTGCAGTGTGCGCGCGCGGCACCGCCAGCAACGGCGGCCGCCGCCGACGCCCCACGCACCCATCCGGCGCATTGAGTCGCACCATCTCCAGCACTCTCGGGTTATGTATTCTACCCCTCATCACCTTCAACACGTACATAGCGAGAGCTACTTCTCTTCTGACTTCGAGCTTGTAGTATCCCACCACACCGAGCAAAAATAGAGTAGGATACAACAACGGATAGCGCGGGTATATTCCAAATAGTTTCAAGTACATGAATCTAATAAATTTATTTTAGATCCGCTCTAACATAAATTTGTATTTGACTTCATGAGGAGCCCAAATGACGGCGTTACACTCTAAGTGGCTCCTTACGAGTGCATCATATAGCGCTCTGATAGCCCTGACGTTTGTGAAATTATTTGCAAGGCGCATTATCAATCCGAGGTTACGGTATGCCTTTATACAAACATTACTTACATGTAATCCGAAATTTAAGCCTGCAGTGAAACGTACACTTACATCTTTAACCTCCTTAACTATATGGAGCAGTTTCCCATCCATCACGAATTGGTGATGAATTGGAGCGCGTGAGTGGCTAAAGGACAGTACTGAGCATTTAGAAACATTAAATAAAAGTTTATTATCAATGTTCCATCTGAAAACTTTATCAATATCATGCTGTAAAAAACACCATCAGATTTTTTTCACATTCTAAGTCTAATTTTACATCATCGGCACACAGTAATGGAGTACTAAACTTGACTACATTTGGCAAATCATTTATTATTAAAATGAACAGCAAAGGTCCCAGATTGCTGCTCTGACTAACACCAGATCTAGTAGGGTACGTTCGAGAAAAGTGCCCATTGTAATCGACAAACTGATGCCAAAAAATTAAAGCGTGCGAGGTGTGCAACCCACACAAGCCAACTTACTAAGTAACACATCGTTGTCAACCGCGTCGAAAGCCTTTCTGAAATCAAAGTAGACTACGTCCACCTGCAGGCCAGCATCAACCGCGGGTACTAGATGCGTCATCAGCTCCAGTAAGTTCCCAGTTGTCCCCTGCTCAGGGCGGAAGCCGTGCTGCGCGTCGGACAACTGTGCACTGATCTGTGGGTACAGGCAGTTGTGAATGGCCGTCTCGAACATTTTCGCTGGAGTGCTTAAGATTGCCACGGGTCTGTAGTCACTTGGAGTCAATCCCCCATTACCTTTCGGTACAGGCACAACTCTAGTGAGCTTCCATGGAACAGGAAACGTAGCACTTTCATTACAAACATTAAAGATGTGTAACAATAGTTTCACTAGTACACTCCTACAGTCTCTAAATATGAAGGCTGGTATACCATCTGGTTCGACCGAGCGCTTCGAGGGGAGGTGCGACAGAACATCAGCTGATCGCAAACGCCCGAGCTGAGTCCACGCGCCCGACGCTGCTCCCACCGGCGCAGCACCAGCCGCCGTTACGCTTAACAAAGGTGTCTCACGGCTGTATACGGACTGGAAACTGAAATCTTTGACTGAGAAATTTGCGAATTCTCCAGCGCACTCACTATCTGACAAAACCTTCCTGTCCTTAAATAATTTTCTACGTCCTGATGTACCTTTCCTCAATCTTATATACTCCCAAAAGGCTTTAGGCTCCAATGTTAAATGTCCCTGCACACAGTCTCTATACTGGTTATGCGCTCTCAGTTTCAGTTTTAACTATAGCCCTATATCGCGAGATATATCTCTTCGTAATCACTACGCAGTTTGCTCGATTTGAATCGTTTGTGAAATTTGTGCTTTAGTTTTATAAACCTAATAATGTCAGCAGTACCTATACCAAACCGGGTATATGTATCTGCTCGTCATCAAACTACTCTTTTTTAGAGGGACACATTTATCAAAACACTCGTAAATTTTATTGTAAAATAAACATAATGATTCGTTCAAGTTATCTAAGGTGTACATTTCACTCCAGTCTATCATAGCTAACAGGTGATACAATTGGTTATTACGGTTTTATTAAAATTCCACCGCTTACTATTTACTGAGACCTGAGAGTGTATTGGTACGTGTGACGAGCCGGGTATGGCAGACGCGGGCGAAGGCGTGGAGGCCAACGACGGAAGTCGGCTGTGATAGAAGTCGCCGTGATAGTGGGTGGCATCACAGCAAGCGGCGGATGGTACGCGTCCACGGGTCGCAGCGCCTCGTCAGCCCCCGTCACGTGCACATCGCTGCGCGCAGCCAACACCAGGTCCAGCTGTCTGCCCTTACAGTTCGGTACCGAGTAGTACTGAGTGAACTCACAAAATGACATAAAGTATTCAAAATAATTGCATATATTACTGTTACAAGAGTATAAATTAAAATCCTCCAATAATAACATATTCTCTTTAAACTTAATACATAACTTCTCCAATATATTAAACATAAGGAGATATTCATTTTCTCCAGTCTGAGGTGGAATGTATAGTAATACAACATGCAAATAAAAACCTGTTTTGTATATAAACAGTAAAAGTAAAAAGTTACAGCCTATATACGTCCCACTGCTGGGCTCAGGCCTCCCCCTCATTTCTGAGAGGTTCAGACGTGGTAGCTCAGTGGTTAACGCTCGCTGTAAATATAACAGAACGCGAGTAACCCGGGTTCGATCCCCGCCGGCACCAATGAAATTGTTAATTGCAATTTTAAGTGCTGATTTACCACGTGCTCGGCGGTGAAGGAAAACATCGTGAGGAAACCTGCATGTCTGAGGAATAAGAAAAAAAATATTTCGAAGACATAAACAGTAGCGCATATCAATTCAAATTTATGAACGACTATGCTTACATTATCCGGTAGCGATATTTTCCGTAACTCGAAATGCGATGTGGCCACTGGACATACGCCCCCCTGCTTACGGTCGTCTGTTCGGTCGCATCTAAGTACATGGTATCTGGGGAGCACAAATTCCGTGCTATGTACGGCTTCATTGAGCCCAGTTTCAGTTATCGCGAATAAGTCAGCTTCAGATGATTCCAGAAATGATAAGAATTCAGTGGTCTTCGTTCGTTACTATTATTGCTGAGCCTTGATCCTTTTTGATCTTGTTGGGCGACGAAACCAAACCCACTCACAAAATTCTACATTCACAGGCCATACCTCCGAAACACATAGTTTATTAAAATTGCTCTTTGTAACGCCAATCCTGAAGGATGAGTAATCTCGCTCAGTTCTATGTTTTAATTTTTCAATAATAATTTCAGTATCGTTTCCTAAGATGTTTTTATATAATCCTTAAGATTATCCACGGTCGTGCCCCCATATCCATTCTCCAGACATGTAAAAACTTCTTACGTTCAACTGCCTTCAAGGACACAATAGACGAGTTTCCGCCTCTGATTACTGGTCTGACCTTCTTTTTCCCTTTAACTTCAGTCCATGTATTGGTATTGGTATCGCTGGCTGTCGGTTTCGCTGCCTTACTGGCCACTACCGCGTAACTAACCGCTGAGCTCCCCGCCGCCGACGTCGCTGTCAACACGGGCCTAGAGGGCGCAGAACGATCGAGCGATCGATCGATCGAGAAGAACGGGCTGCGCCGGCCGCTCCACAGCTACCGGTGCCAGCGACAAGCTTGGAGTTGTATCAGACCCCACAATTTTGACACCGTTGCCGATTTTCTTCGACATTAGGCTTCGTATTTTTTCCGTTTTTCAAAATTGAAATCTGTTGCTCTAATAAACTGCATTTTTTATTAGCTTATTAGATCTTTCCTTAGTTTACTATTTTCCTGTGCTAACACTGTAACAGAAGCTTTAATTTCGCTTAAAATTTTGGTCTCAAAACTACTCAACTTTTCAACAATCACACTATTTACGTTATCCAATAAATCTGCAAAGTTGATCATCCCTTCAGATGTCAAAGATACTTTTTTGTCTAAGGGAGTGCTTCCTTCGAAGGATAAGTTGGATAAATCTTTGTCTCTCAGATGTACATCAAAGCCACGAACTGGGGTATCATCGGTTTACTCGTATCCGCTGAGTTACATTGGAACAAGAACTGCATACAAAAGTGCGTTTTAGTTGCTGTTGCCCGTCCCTAAATGCAGTAGAAGTAATATTTACGCATTTATGATGAAAGGCAGCTTTGCAACCCTTGCATTTTATCAGTTCACTGATATCAAATTTTTTATTACAAACAAAACAGTTCATATTGTTCTAATCGCAATGAAAATGCTGTGTAACAGGAATAGATACAGTAAGTTCGCGCGCGAGTGAAAGAGCGAGAGAAAGACAGCTCGGCACTTCGCGCTACCCACTTATTATTTATCACGCAGTCACTGCACTACATAATAGTCTCACAAATAATCCATAAATACGTCCAAATTGCACAATTATAGTACTTTCCTGTATATTACACACATGTCTCACAACATATAGTCCATTTTAAAGTTATTTTCATATCTCTAAGAACACAGTTTTCCAGATAAGATAAATAAATCACTGAGAGCGATCCGTATCGTGTGTCGAAACCTTATGTATGTATATACATATATACATACATAAGGAATAAATAATTATTTATAACAGAAATAAAACAAAGAAGTATAATAATCAAACAATATATTGATGTTATTTTAGGAAGTTTTACACTATTTATTTTTACACATTTAATTTTATCGAATAATTATCGGAAAACAAGAATTAATTAAATATTTTTTTACGTCTCTTTCTTTCGAATTAAATTTTAAAATAATAATTTTGACAACCCGGTGCCTAGTCCTGGGTGATTGTAGATCCAGCCTCTGAAAATAACCGCTCACGGGATTGCCACGATAGGCAAATAGATCTTATCTAGACTGCTAAGCCCGAGAAATAACCCTTTCATGATATCCCACATGTGTTATATGAAACTCGTCTTTTGCCTCAATTTAATTTCTTATGATGTGTTAATTTTTTATGGTAGTTCCATATGTTACCTTCAGTATTATCGCATTTTCTAAATACATCTACGAAACTAGACTGGAATACAAACAGGTGAATAACGGTCATCCATAAAAATCAATATTTCATAAAAATGATTGTAATGAAGTACGAAGTACCGTAAGCCGATAAAATAATTTCCATTACAAAATAACTATTAACTTATAAGACTGTACTCATTTGGTCAAAGCTCAAACAATATTATTATTAATAAGTTTACAAATATTGAAAATGGAATGCATAAAACAATTTCAATCCATCTTCAATATTTGTAAACTTATCTTAATTAATTATCACAATAAAAATAACTACAAGTATACATCGAAAATGGAATTACCGATAGAAGACAATTGTACTTCTGAAGTTCAAGTATATTAATTTTCGGTTGAAAGACCATTCGCCTGTTTGTTGATTCGTAATTAAAATTTTTGGGATTGAGTTATTTCTGCCAAAAACTCGTAAACCTTCCAACTTTAAAAATTTAGACGTTATCTAACTTTGACATTTTTTGTTTCGAATATTTATTTTTGGCAACATAAAATTCGTGATAATCATCGTTCATCGTTGTTTAGATTAATTATTATTTGATTTTCAATAATGCAGTCAAAATTAATGTCTCTTTAAAAGTCATCCATAATAAAAAAAAATGTTTTTTCTACAACTTTTGCCAAATGATCCTTTGTGACATGGGCACATGCTTCAACGAATGTAGATGTAGAAGTAATGTAAATGTAGAAATGTAGAAGAAGAATGTAGAAGAAACAGTCCAAAAAGTTAAAGCCGAGTCACAAAATAAGAAGACAAACACAAAATTACAAAATTACGCACAGTAAGCTTGCGTACTATAATGGCGATTTTTGCCTACACAAATTTGTTTAATTCGTGATTCATGTAATTTAAGGAATTTTAAAAGCAAAATAATTAAATTAAACAAATAATACATTAAAAAATTAATAATTCGATTATTAAAATATTTTTAACGATTATTTGAATATTTTTGACGATTATTCGCATAACAATGAATTTTAATCATCCAAACACTACGGTAATGTACATAGCGACATATCTTGAATCGACGTCGAGTACAAAAGTTGATACTGGTTATTTTTTTAATATTTTGCTTTGTTTGAAAGATTCAAATTTAAATCAGTGATAAAAAACTATACACGTTGTAATGAAATATAGATAACTTCATAATTCTTGGGATTTACGTAAAAGGTTATTTTAATAGTGTGAGTACGCTTGTACAAAGTTATTGCGGAATGATTAATTTAACACATTTCAATTTCTTTTTTATATTATGTTAGTGCATACCTACGTTACTTAGTTTCATTTAAATATCATATTGAACGGACACGACATCAACCGTGTTAAAATCTCCCATGCACTTAATCGGTTTAATGATTAAATTACTCCGTATACTAAAATTATCAATACTATTATTGTTTGAGTTGAAACAGTGATGTAGTTAATAAAATATAATGTATTCTATCTATAATGTGGCTGTTGAGTGAGCCAAAAGTCGCACCATGATTAAAAAGATTTGTAAGAAGTGATAGAACTATCGGTTCTGCACAAATATTGTAAGGATTTAAATTTAAGTCATTCCAATATTTCCACCACGATTTATAAGAGTGCAACCATAATTTTGTAAGGTGTTTGTGCCAAAGAAGAAAACATTATATCTAAGGCTGCTTCAGAGGTTCCTTTTTTTAGGAAAGCAACCCGGATAGCCTTTTGACTCCTAGGGAAAGTTGGAACTGTTTACTTTTCCTGCAAGAAAAGTTTAAGAGGTTTTGGTTAGCGTCTAAATAAATAATTTTGGAGCTACGCATACCTCTTATGATTGGGAACCACGGTTGAGAGGGCCAGTAAGGAAATACTAAGATGCCTGCATAGATCGGAACAAAAGTTAAATTTTAATCTATGGTAACCGCGGTTAACTATGACATATGGACGTTGAACATCTCAGTCCCGCCCGTGACCATGAGTGCTGTAAAGCGTTCGAAACGTCGGGTATTTAAAAAGTTAAATATACGCGATAAATTCCGTAAAAACTAGTATTATTTCAATGTGTAGTGTTCGCGTAAATATAAGAAATCATTATGTAAACTCTTGTGATTTTGGGGATATTTTATTCCTCCCATTCGATTTATGTAACTTATTGCGGTAGTATTGTCACATCGTAATAATATTGAGCAGTTACTTTTATAAAGAGCAAATATTTTAAGTCCAAAGAACCATGCTTTGAGTTCTAAATAATTAATATGAAACTCAAGTTTTTCTGCTTTCCATTGACCCCCAGCGCGAACATTATTACAAAAAGCACCCCAGCCATGTTTTGATACATCAGAAAATATTTCTTAATCGAAGGTTGATCTTTCTATTTTATTTTTATAAATATAAATATACTTAGACC